CCCCCCCCCAAAAAAAAGAGAACACACTGAACTTTGCATCTCACACGCACAGAGCCTCTTATAGGAACTAAGGAGTCCCCAGTTTCCCTCCTGTGGGGCCTTTTAACATGCAAATTAAGAGAAAGCCCATAACTGACTAAGTGTAACAAGGTGTTAAAAATGACTAGCAAATAGACCCAGTAAGATCCTAACTTTGGGCTGGACACCAGTGGCTCATGCCTATAATCCTAGCTACTCAGGAGGCTGAAATCTGAGGGTCACAGTTCAAAGCCAGCCCAGGCAGGAAAGTCCACGAGACTCTTACCTCCAATTAACCACCAGAAAACCAGAAGTGGTGCTGTGGCTCAAGTGGTAGAGTGCTAGCCTTGAGCAAAAAAGCTCAGGGACAGTGCCCAGGCCCTCAGTTCAAGCCTCACAATTGACAAAAAAAAAAAAAAAATCCTGTTTGGCTTTATCCACCTAAAAACAAGTATTAAGACTATAAAAGAACCGGAACATCCTATTTTCACAGGAGATTTGCAGAGAAAGCACATCTTTACATTGTGTCCTTGTGAATGTTTGTTTCTTCAGCATGTCTCAGTGTGTGTACAACTAGAAGATGTTTTTGTTTATTTCACTTTGGCCAAGGATGCTCATAAGGTATCAGTTATGAAGGACTTGTTTTATTTATTTGAGGTGGTAAAAACTATAGTTCTTAATCTAAAAAGAAGTATTCTCTGGGAAATAAATAAGAAAAAATATGTTAATAAAAAACAACTAGAAAAAAATGTAAACTCAAGTCTGAGGTATTTCAAAGAAAGTGCCCGTAAAAATTCTCCTTCCCAAAAATTGACAACTGCAGACCTCTTGCTTTGGTCTTTCTGTAATCACATGTGGAGAGTCTGAGATAAAAAGCCCTTTTTGAGGAGGTGAGGATAGTGGGAAACAGTTTAGTGCAGAGCCAGAAAAGGGATGGAATAAAGTCAGACTTCATGTCTTTGTAGAAGACCAAAAATATTTCCTTAAAATTTGCCCATTTTTCTTTTAGCCTAAAAACACTTTTATAGGGTACATGCGTATGTGATCTACTCTTTCCAGAGGGAAGTTATTTATTTAGTTTTTTAATACTGGGAATCATTACTTGTTCAAATTAGATTTTCCACGCTATATTTAATTTTGAAGAAGGGTTTAGTTCTAAGCTGTGGTTTACTGTAGTCGGGGTGAGCATGTATAAATTAAAAGAAATACCCCAAACCCTTATTTCTGAACTGAAACATTGATTTTGACACAGATCTATCTCCCAACCTCTAAAACTCGTTGTTTTCATTAAGTAGAAATCCTACCACTTCTATGTGCATCTAACTTTTGTAGCTGAGGTCTGAGAAACTGATTTACTGTTTTTTTTTTAATACCCAGGTTTCTCAAACCTTTTTGATCATTTCTAAAGTTAAATAGGTTGTTCCTCTAATACAACAAGAACCAGGAATTCCCAGCAGATAGATTTCATTCTTATCACAAATGCATATACCAGAAACACACAGCTCGCACGTGAAAATGTTCTCAGTCAGCATTCACAGACATTCTTTCCAGGAGAACCCCAGTAATGAGTCAGACATCCATACATGTGCAAATGTACAACTGGCAGCAAATTATTTTCAACCCCATTGTCCTGTGCATATCAAAAAGGAACCAAGACAGCTCTGTGACATTCAGTACGAGAGTTCTAGATTGCCATGTTCGTGCTCAAGTTAGCTTCAGATCACGTCGCGTGAGTTTCGTATTGCACAGCAAAGGACCATGCTGAATATCATGCCGAAGATCTGAAATAGACAGACCTGCTCATTAAGGACAGCCAGACAGGGTTCAACTGTCAAAAAGGCAGCAAACTGCTGAGCCATTTCAAGTCAATGCATGATTACAACCAAGGATGAGGCTTGCAGTAATGCTTTGTATGTAATATCCCATTTGTTTTTCACAATAATCTTAGAAAGTTGGTATTAAATATCCCCCACATTAAGGCTGGGCACTGGTAATGTGCATGAGGCTGAGACCTGAGGATCTGAGGATCATGGTTCAAAGGCAGCCCAGGCAAGAAAATCAGCAACACTCTTATCTTCAATTAACCACCAAACAAACAAACCTGAAGTGGAGGTGTGGCTCAAGTAGGAGAGTAGTAGCTTTGAGCACAGCTATTATGCCTACTTCCCAAGTTCAAGCCTTAGGAGTTCAAGCCTTAGGCCTGGCAGAAACACACACACTTTATAGATAAGGAAATTGCAAAATAGAGAAATGAAGCAACTTTCCTATAATTCCAGGACTTCTGTAAGTACTGGAGCAAGCAGTGGAGTCAGATGTCATGTGAAAACTCTCCCTGTTGAGCTGTCCCCTGTGCTGCCTCTTCAAAGCAGAGAGGACAGAGTCACCTCCTAATGTATTTCCTTGAATTGAAAACTTGCCTAGGTCAGGGCTGGTATGCTGACAATGGAGGTCACCACAATGCAAAGACAGTATCCTAGTCAGGACAACACTAAAGTCTGTATGTTTACAGGGCTACTGATGGGTAGACTTAGTTTTTGTTCTTTGAAGACTGCTATGAGTCCCTGTCTCTGTTCGCTATGGCAATTGTCCCTTAAGTTACTGTCATCTTATGCTTGAAGAGAAATCAAATGTGAATGTTCAAGGCTTCTTAATGGGTTAAAAAAAATAAAAAGTTCTGGAACTTTCTCACCGTGAGGCCTGCAATCCCAACACCGACAATTCCAATGAGCTGTAGCTTCACACGGATGACAGTATCAATTTCATCAATGCAATTCTGTTTAGGAAGGGAATAAAAGTTAGGAATAGACTGGTTATGTGTGGACCATCCTCACTCCAACCCTTTCCTCCTCTACTGATAGTTCTGTGACTCAGTCCACATCAACTCTGCCCTCACGCAGACCACTGTCTTCATAGTATCATCCTGACACCCTTACAGCAAAAGTGTGGTGTGCCAAAGATCCATCCTCTCCTTTTGCACCTGTATGGGTCAGGCAAGAATGCCACAACCTCCCCCGAGGAGGCATTTCTATGGGATCTGAGGCAGTTTGGAGTTTGAGGCCTCTTCTTGCTTTCAGCAAATAAGAATAAAGTCCCCTAAAACAACAATTGCTCATGTTTGGTTTTTGCTGTGTTGTTGTTTGTATCAATACTGGGGCTTGAACTCAGGACCTTGCTCCCTCACTTGACTTTTTTGCTGAGGGCTGGTACTCTTCCTCTTGAGCCATACCTCCACTCTAGCTTTTTGCTGGTTCATTAGAGATAAGTGCTCATCAAGGCAATCATTACCTATTAAGAAACTGAAAGGCTGGTAAAGGTACATACAAATGAAACAAAGGAAAGCCACACCTCAGGAAAGCCAGGTCTTTGGAATTTGAGAACCTGTCTCTCCTGTGGAGAGTCTGGGTCCAAAAGCCCTCCATGGAAGGGGAGGCAGACAGGGAACAGAAGAAATCACAGCTTTATGATCTTCCTATAACTTCAAATGCTTCTGCTGGAGTCCTCCAAGCTCGGTGTGCACTCACCAGCCAGCACCCACGGAGCCCTAGTCTACCAAAGAAACCACTGCCCACCCCTCTTCCGGCAGCTAGCTGGGTCTGAAATCATCCTCCTTTGTCAAACCCAACCCAAGGATCCCCTTTATGATGAGGAGCCTGCCTCTGGTATAGAAGCACAGCCTACTCCGTCACTCACACTGCTTTGCTTTTATTTGCCACTGAATAAAGAAAGGCCCAGAATGCAGAGGACCCGAGCCTGACGGTGGCCACGGTTTCCACTAGGAGGCGCTGGCATGTGGAAGAGGCTTACCTTATGGCCTGGAAGCTCCCTGGGGCACGTGGATTGGACCTGTTCAGAACTTTCTTTTCCGCAACACTGAAACTGAAGAAGACAAGAGGCTTTAGGATAGCTCGGCAGCGACTATCTGGCCTACTCTTCTGGGTGGGGCTTTCTCATCTACGGTTCCCCAGGGAAAGCCAACATAGTCTCCCCAGGGCTAAGACAAGAGGCTGCTACTTCATTTTACTGATTTTATTTCTATTCCTTTTCACTTTGGTTTCTTCTGCTGGCACTGGGGCTTGAACTCAGGGTTTTGTGCTCTCACTTGGCTCGCTTGCTTATGGCTGGTGTTCTACTACTTGAGCCATACCTTGAGTCTAGCTTTTCGTTGGTTAACTGGAAATGGAGCCTAACAGACTTTTTCTGCCCAGGCTGGCTTCAAAACTCAATTGTCGGGCTGGGAAGGTAGCTCAGTGGTAGAAAGCTTGCCTTGCATGCATGAGGCCCTGGGTTCGATTCCTCAGCACCACATAAGCAGAAAAAGCCGGAAGTGGCGCTGTGGCTCAAGTGGTACAGCGCTAGTCTTGAGCTGAAAAGCTAAGGGATAGTGCCAAGGCCCAGAGTTCAGGCCCCAGGACTGGCAAAAAAAAACCCAACAAACTCAATTGTCCCATCTCAGCCTCCTGAGGAGTAAGGATTACAGGCCTGGGCCACTAGCTGTGTTTATTTTTAGTCTAGATGATGAACAAGAAGTTGGCGTGTGCACAATCTTCAGAAGACGGTACGTCAAGGGTGAAGTGAAGGAACTCACCGCAGAGTGGAAGATGATGAGGGTTCCATTTCCCCTTTCCCTGTCTTTAAGGTAATCGCTGTAAGCCTCTTCATACATGGTCTGCACGTGTCTTATAGCCTGCAAAAACACCAGGAAAAGAAAGGCACACGGGAGGGAAGTGTCCAGCAGTCACCCCTCTCCCATGCCTTCCATGTGCTTCCTGGTGCTTTAAGAGGGGTCAGCATTGATGGAGCAGAACACAGGTCCTGGATGTCCTACGATGCAGTGGAGCCCCGCAAGACTGGCCAGCCAGCAACGGTGTTCACACACTAGAGACATTTCCCAGCACAAAAGCTCCTGATGCTGGCAGGGCTTTAGCACCAATGGGGCCCGGGTTCCTGGGCTCCACCTGGGGGTTTTGCTGCCCTGCTGGTTGGAACCAGCATTCAGAAGGGGAGGTGTGGCTCAAGTGACAGAGTGCCAGCCTACAGCAAAAAAAGCTAAGGGAGAGTTTGAGTTCAAGCCCCAGGAACAGCACCAAAAATAAGTAAGTTGTTCATTGCTAAGGAAGACTATGCATTCAAGTACCATGGAGAGCTTAGGTAATGCTTTCTGTAGTATAAAGGCATATGACCCAAATTCACAGAAATTTCAAGAAGTCCTGAGATCTAGTTTCAGTTCTTCCTAGAGCTGGATATAGCCAGCTGTGTTAGAAGCACATGCAAAGGAGGTGACATTCACTTGTTTCACAGGTGACATTTATTCAGTTTACCATTTGTTAGCGTTAACGCCATGAGCTGCAATGAAAGCTTAGGAATTAACCTGCGATGTGGCAGGCACATGTCAGGTTCCATTCTGCTCGAGCCTGCCCATGTTTACCCTCTGAGAAAGCCTCTTCCTTTATGGGTTCCCCTGAGAACCATTCTGGACACTGAGGCGTGGGGCAGCAAGTCTAGACCACTTCTAGTCAGGTTTGTCTTTGGCAAACTTTAGAACAAAGGACCAGCTGATAAAGATGAGAATTAAGGTTGTCCCCCCCCATCCCTTTGGCACCTTAAATCTATCATCTAACGCCTTCCTCAGCACTAACTTAGGACTAATCTTTGAGGATTTTTTTGTTTTGCTTTATTTTTGGTGCTAGTACTGGGTTTGAACTCGGGGCACTGTCCTTAGCTTTTTCACTCAAGATTGCTCTACCACTTGATCCACTTTATATTTCCAGCTTTTTTTTGCTGGTTAATTGGAGACAAGAGTATCATGGACTTTTTCCCCTGGACTGGCTTTGAACCTGGATCCTCAGATTTCTTAGCCTCTTAAGTAGCTAGGATTAAGGCATGAGCCACCAGTGCTCAGCTTCCAAAGCAAGACTAATATTAAAATAGAGACTTTTTTTGTCAGTTGTGGGTCTTGAATTCTGGACCTGGGTGCTGTCCCTCAGCTCTTCAGCTCCAGGCGAGTACTCTACCACTTGAGTCACAGTGCCATTTCTGGCTTTCGGGTGGTTCTTTGGAGATGGGAGTCTCACAGACTTTGCTGCCCAGGGCTGGCTTTGCATAGTGCTCCTCAGATCTCAGCCTTCTGAGTAGCTAGGATGACAGGTGTGAGCCACTGGTGCCTGGCTAAGATAGAGATTCTTTAAAAAAAAAAAAAAGCATAGAGCACTTTATAAATCTAAGGAAAGCTATATGAACCAAGTCCCTAGAGAAATCTCACAAGTGCTCTTACTTATGTGCACTCCGAGGTTAAGAAGTTCCTCTTCAGCGATCATTTGGCCTACTTGGTTTCCTACATTTTTTGGCATGAATATTCTTTCATTCTTTGCCATAAAGAGAATGTAAGCATCATTAACACACAACATTGTAGGTAAGTTTTACTTACTACATCCTTGCCTATAAAAGCAAATACTCCAGTGGTCACTTCAGCAGCAAATATCACCAGCAGGCAGGTAAAAAACTGTTGAGAGAAAATACTAATTTCATTAATTTAATACCTTTCACTTCCACTAGTGTCTTTGGATCTGCTCCACTTGCAGGACATCAGCAGGGAGCGCTGGCCTTTGGGCAGCGTGCACCCCTTGGTGCGGCTCACCCTCTCACTCACTCCCCGCACACCCACGGGGCATCTGTCCATTGGGTACCTCACCACACCAGACACACATGGTAAACATGGTGCCAATGTCTCTGATGTCGCTAAGGTGAGATGGGCAGGGAAAGAAATACAAATAAGTCGAGGTTCATCAGTGGCATGAGACCGCAGCATTAGAGTGGTGTCTGGACCCTGCGTTTGCAGCAGAGATGCTCTGCAGAGGACAAGAATAAGGGCTGGGGGCCATCACCAGGGCCATCACCGGGGTGGCTGGCTGGGCAACTGTGGCGGGAGCTTGGTGGGCTGAGAGGCTTCTCTGAGCACAAGGACAGGGCATGGGTGAGGAGGGTGTGGGTGAAGGGTGTGGGTGAGGGTTAGATTGAGGATTAGTGTTAGGGTTAGTGTGAGGTTTAGGGTGAGGATGAGGGTTAGGGTTAGGTGAAGGGTGTGGGTGAGGGATAAAGAGGAGTGTGCTGTGAGGTGTGGTCTTAGAGGTGTGGGGTAAAGAGGGGTGTGGGGTGAGGTGAGGGGTGTAGGTAAAGAGGGGTGTGGGTGAGGGGTGAGGGGGGTAGGGTGGGTGAGAGGTGATGGGGGTGAGGGGTGTGGGTGAGGGGGGTAGGGTAGGGGTGGGGATATGGTTGAGGGGTAAGGGTGTGGGTGAGGTGTGGGGTGAGGGGTGATCCTCAGATCTCAGCCTCCGGAGTAGCTAGGATTACAGGTGTGAGCCACCAGCGCCCAGCTGCTTTTTATGTGATTGTTGTTGTTACTGTCGTTATTATTATTGTTCATTGAGGCTGTAGTCACACCAGCCACAGAGGGACGTCCGCCACATCGCGGTCCTGGCCAGCAGTGCGGTTCCCTGAGGCGGGCCTCGGTGGAACTGTGCCGCTCCTGCCCGGGGCCGACCCAGAGACTCGGGACTGAGCCCTCGCCGCCCTGAGCCCGGACCCCGCCACCCTGCTGCCCGCGAGCCCCACTTACGGATCCCAGCACGCACTGGGACTCCCGCACAGCTCCGCAGCACCCAAAGAAACCCATGGCCATCATCAGGGTCCCTGCTCCGACCAGCACGTAGAGGCCTGTGGACAAGAGCGGGCCGGGTCAGCGCCCAGGCCGAGGGCACGCCCACCACCAGGACTGCCACGCCCACTGCCACGCCCACAGCGGCCTCTGCCACGCCCACCACCCCTCGTGCTCGGCCCTGTAGCTCGAACATGCGCTGTGCGCATTTAACCTGGGCCTCGTGGGCCAGGAGTCCCGGGCTTGGCTTTGCTCGCTTTGTGCGGGATCGGGGCTTGGACCAGGGCCTCCGCTTTTTGCCCAGGACGGGCGCCGCCCTGCCGGAGTACCGCGTCGCCTCGGATTTCTCTGCTGGGTCCCCGAAGACCGCAGTTTGTATTTGCTGCCCGGGCTGGCCTCCAACCGCCGTCCTCGGACCTCGGCCTCCTGGGCTGTAGGTGACCGGCCTGCGCCCCCGGCGCCAGCCTCACGCTTGAGGCAGGCAAAATGGATTCTAGAAAGTGCGGCAGCCTAGCCCCGGTCTCGGATCTGAGACGTCCTGCCCAGGCCAGAGGCCCGCCTCCCCCTTCCTCCCGATCCAGATAAAGCAACACAATGGGTTGGCGGGAGCCCGCCTCGGCTGCCCCTGTTTCCTCTTCTGCATTTTACTCCAGTGAGTCACCGGGGACAGCAGGGCGGGGTCCTGCCGGGCTGCGGGGCAGTCTGTGCCCCCCTTCCCCACCGACCTGGCGGGGACGCAGGCCGTCCCTCCTGCCCCTCCCCAGCCTTGGGGGCCTGGGGAGGGCGAGGCGCCCACTTCCGGCCCGGGGCCCCACGGAAGACCCTCGGGAGGCTGTGGGTGATGCGCGAGAGCCGGAGGCTCGGGAAGTGGAGCGCCAGCCCTGAGCGGGGAGAACGTGAGGCCCTGGGTTCGAGAGCCGGTGCTGGGGCGCGCACACGCACACGCGCGCGCGTGGTGGAGCCCCTGTGGCAGCCGGGTGTGGCCCGGCCGTCTCCGCGGTGTGGTCGCAGGTCCTTTCACATCCCCGCCACCCCCTTGTCACCCAGAACACCGCCGCACTGAAGGCGGCCGCCCCCCCCCCTCCGGCTGGAGCTGGACGCGCCGCCCCACGGCCCGCGAGTGTTTGTACTCGTGTCACACCCGCTAGACGGACTGGGCCGCCTTGGCGCGGCTTCTTCCTGAGAACTAGCAACCAGCGTGGGGGGCCGGGAAGGTGCGGTGCTCGCCTCGCAGGCATGAGGCCCTGGGTTCGATTCCTCAGCACCACATCAGCAGAAAAAGCCAGAGGTAGCACTGTGGCTCAAGCGGTAGAGCGCTGGCCCAGAGTTCAGGCCCCATGACTGACCAGAAAAAGAAAAGTAAAAGCGTGGAGGTGTGGAAGCCATGGATGCGGGCCAGGACGTGGGGATCTCAGCCTGTTAGGTTTGGCCTTCTGGAGAGAGCGTGCTGGCCTTGTGCCCTTGGCTGCCCGGGCAGCAGTAGTCAGTGAGGACAGGAAACCCAACCTCAAGACTGCTCCTGGCCAGTCCTGGCCAGTCCTTGCTGAAGGAGGCAGGCCAGCCTGACGTCCAGTGCGGAAGGTGGCAGGCCAGTCTCACGTCTAGCAGGGAAGGATGCAGGCCAACCTCACGTCCAACCCCACGTCCAGCCCCGAAGGCCACTTTCCCCACATCCAGCCACAAGCCAAGCCAAGCCCTTGCTCCGATGGCATGGAGAGACGACTGCCGTGGAGGAGGCGGCCCCTGTGTGTGCAGGCAACCCCTGGTGGAGAAGCTGGCTCATATCCTCTGCCTGCAGACATGACCTCACGGGCGCCCCTCTATACAACTGGACCCTGGGGTGTCTGCCCATCGAAAGCGCACCCCAAAAGAGGCTGGGTGGAAGTTGGGGGAGTGGGGGGAGGCAGGCTACTGAACCCAGGAGGCCTGGGGTGGCTGAGAGACTAGGATGGAGACCATCCAGGGGCCCTGGCTGCTGACCCAGCGCCAGCACCGCCCCTGCCAGCCTCTGAAGCCAAGGGACACAGGTGCACTGATCTGGGAACAGCATGGGGAGGGGGAGAGTTGTGTGTGGGGGTGTGTCTGACAGGCTGTCCATCCTCTCCTGCTTTTTGGTATGACTCTGGAGCCTGGGACTGTGCTGGCTGGTGGACTGTATTTAGATTATATTGATCACATTGGTGGATTATATTATATTATACTTAGGTTATATTGGTAGGTTACATTTTTTTTCTTACATGGAGGAACCTACAAACAGTAGGGGACTTCTGCTCCAATTGTAACATCCAAGAAATTAACCATGAAGAGATTTTTAGGATAAAGACATTTATTACCATTCAGAGTGCTGTGACTCTTCTAGATTTCACCCAACACAGGTCTCACTCATGGTCTGTCTTTATATTTTTATTTTTTTGTGCCAGTCTTAGGGCTTGAACTCAGGAGCAGCACTGTTCCTTAGCTTTATGTACTCAAGGCTGGTGCTCTACCACTTGGGCCTCAGCTGACTTCTGACTTTTTGCTGAATATTTGGAGCGAAGAGTCTCACAGACTTTCCTACTTGGGCTGGCTTTGTTTCAACTGTAATCCTTAGACCTTAGCCTCCTGAGTAGCTAGGATTATAGGTATGAGCCACTGGTAGGGCTAGTTTGACTTTCAGAATTTATTCAGGGGATATGAGGTGTTTGTGAATATTTATTTATTTATGCCAGTCCTGGGGCTTGAACCCAGGACTTGGAAACTGTCCCTGAGCTGCTTTTGCTTAAAGCTATATCTCTATCACTTAAGCCACCTTCCTAGGCCCTCGTGATTTTTTTTTTTTTTTTTTTGGTCAGTCATGAACTCTGGGCCTAGGCAGTCTTGGGAGTGAAAAGAGAGGGGCTGTGTGTGGGTGTGGCCCTCTCCCCCAGTGCCCGTGTCTGTCCATAGGCCACGTGGGGCTGGGGTGTGGGCTTGGCCCTCTCTCCCTGCCCCTCCCCCAGAGCCTAGGTTTCCACACCAGGCTTTAGCAGTCCATGTCAGGCTTAGGCAGCCACCACTCACCCACATGGAGATGCTCTGGGTACTTGTCCTCCGATGGTAAGTCCTTTGTGGAGCCTCCAAACCGAAACCACAGTCCAAATGCAATGACGGCCGAGCCGGCCAGCTGAAAGGCAAACCACAAGGCATTGGACGGGACGGGACAGGGCGTGACACACCTGGACAGAGTGGGATGCCGGGTACCTGGGCTGCCGTGCACTGTTCGGGGGAGGAGAGCCCCCTCGGGGCCTGTGGTCAGCACTGGGCTTTGCTGGTCTCTATGCCAAAGCTGCTGGCAGGCCGTGGCGGGGTGGGGAGTGGGTGCATCTCCCTGGCATCTACGCCCTGCCTGTCCCCACACCCCCTCACGACAGCCAGCTTCCATGCCAGGTCACTAAGCACAAAATGAACTCCAAGACCTGGGGCACCCACTTTTCTGAGTTAGATGTGCCAACTCTGTGCCCACCCACAGTCCTCCAGGGAGTCTCCAATTAGAGGGTCACCTTCCCAGCCCCCGCTTCTACAGGCAGCATCTGGGCCTGGTCCCCGCCACCCCCCCCCCCTCCAGTTGCTATTTTGAGTATCCATGGAAAGTGAGGAAGGAAAAAATACTTCTCTGAAAAAGCCTGGTCTGTGCACTGTGCGGCTCCCGGAGCGACCGGCAGCCAGCGCCCCGCACCCCCCCACTCCGGGGCTGGCATCTACACTGGCAGCAGTGTTCTGCCATTGGAGCGCCTTCACAGCCACGCTGCCCTCCCAGATACCACGCTAGAGTATCACCCATTCACATGCACTCCCCGGGCACCTTCTGGGCAAGAGGCCCTACGGGAAAATAAGCAAGAGATACAAAAATATCTTCCTGCGTCCACTGCCCCAGCTCCCACCAAACAAGGGAAGGGAGAGGCCGCCTGAGCCCCACATGGGACAAGAACCCTGAGATGTTGGCAGCAGGAAGACAAGAGGAGGAATCGGAGAAGAGGGAAAGGCCCTGGCCAGGTCAGACAGCCTGGGTACTCAGCATCGGATTCCAGCTGCACTTTGTGAAGCTTCCAGTGCCAGCCCCGAGGGCTGGAATTCCAGGCATGCTGTCCCTCTTCACCTTCTGTCCCCCAAGGCCAAGATTCCCGGCTTGGGGTCTTCAGAAAAGTAGCAGCATTCAGTGGGGAGCTTGAGGGGCCTGCTGGGAATACCAAAAGGTTTCCAGTCTCAGAGGAAGGCGCGAGTTAAGACAGCATGAGGGATGGGGCGTCCAGGGGAACCCCGCTCCCCCGCCTGGGGGCGGGAAGGGGCAGCCTGGCTAGGAAACACAGAGGAAGAAAAAACCGTGTGTAAACATGCACTAGATTTATCTTTGGAGGGTCGGGTTACAGGTGGCTTTCTCCCTGTCCATAGTTTCCAAGTGTTGAGAGTGAGGCACGAATTACTCTACCAAGCTTAAAAACAGACTTTTCCAAGAAGCCTCGCACGGTCATTTTGATGTTCAGTGTGGAAAATGCAGGCAGTTTTTCTGGGCGCCAGCTCCAGGGTGGTGGCTGTGGCTCCACAGGCGGTGGGGGGCATGGAACCCCGAGGGAGGTGCCTGTCCCGGGACAGGCCTGCTTAGCAGAGCCTCAAGGTAGCCCCCCCCCAAGGTGACCCCCTCCGTGAGGGCCTGACGGGAAAGGCCATTTCCAAAGCACCATCTATTGACAGAGGCTGGGAGCCAAGCGGGCAGCCACCAGGCAGACTGGAGGAGGTGGCCGGTCCCAGGGTCACCCCACCCCCAGGCCACATTTTTGGAATCTCTGTCTACAGACTCTAATTTATGGCCGTCTGGAATCGTCTTTCCAGACGGAATCCATTTGTCCAGCGCTGGCACAGATGTGTTTGATGCATAATGGAAAATTAGAAGAGAGGTTGCGATTTAAAGCCCTGGAACGCTGGCTCTCCGTGTCCTCCCCCCCCCCACCACCACCACACGGGTTTCCTCCTGGTCAAGGAGCTGTGGCTGCCTGGACCACTCCCTCTGAGGGATTCCTCCCACCGCTGCCGCAAGGAAATACCAGGCGATGCTGGGGCAGCAGTGACAGTGGCTCTGCTTTGCAGAGAGACGGAGCAAAGACCATGGAGCTGCTCCTCCTCCTCCTCTCCTTCTTGTTCTGAGCTTGAACTCAGGGCCTGGGCATTGTCACTAAGCTTTTTCTGCTCAAGGCTGGTGCTCTACCCCTTGAGCCACAGCTCTACTTCTGGCTTTTTGTTGGTTACCACCTGGCCCAGAGATAATTCTTTAAGAGATGGCTCTACCAGTTGGCTTAGCTCCACTCCTGGACACCAGCCAACCAGACCACCAAGAGCAAGTGCTGCCACTCTTGGACCAGACACATGGCAGAAGCACCCCGGGGGCCTTCTGAGCACCTGTGGCTCACAGTCGGGGTGGGCAGCCAGAGCTTCCCTTCCTTCTCCTGCCAGGACCAGAACTCCCTCCTCCACACTAGGCCACACTCTCCATAGCCAGTGCACTTCCTTGGGAAAGCCTCGCCTGGCCTGGTGTGTGCCACCCTCTCACCCTGCTATGTAAATATTTCTGGGGAAGCCAGGTGCTGGTGGCTCACACCTGTCATCCTAGCTACTCAGGAGGCTGAGATCTGAGGATCGCGGTTCAAAGCCAGCACAGGGAAGAAAGTCCGTGAGACTCTTATCTCCAATAAACTAGAAAACGAAGTGGTACTGTGGCTCAAATGGTAGAGCACTCACCTTGAGCTCAGGGACAGCACCGAGGCTCTGAGTTCAAGCCTCATGGCCAACCTATATATATTTCTGGGGGTCTGAGTTCAGTGAGGGCAGGGGCAGAGGGTCTGGGCCTCACAGGGCAGAGCTGGGGGTGGGGTCTGAGGGCTAGGACTGTGCAGGGATTGTGCTGAGTCCTTCCAGGTATGAATACTGAAGTCCTTCCAGGTGTGAATGCTGAACTTTCAGGTGTGAATGCTGAAGTCCTTCCAGGTGTGAAAACTGAAGTCCTTCCAGGTGTGAATAAAGAAGTCCTTCCAGGTGTGAATACTGAAGTCCCGGCCCAGAGCAGTGGGAACTGGGGTTAGGAGGAGTCAGGGTCAGGGCTAGGAGGAGTGCTAGGGGCAGACCTGACGGGATTGTGCTCTCACAGGAAGGGCCACCACAGAGAGAGCCTGCTTGCCACGCAGGCAGGTGAGGGATGGGCCATCCCTCCTGAGGTCCTAGGCTCCCTGGAGAGTACCGCATGTACCACAGCCCGCTCTGGGACAGGATCACACGTGGATGGAAAGGACGCTCCAACCTTCCAAATGTGGAGCCAGTGCTCGCTTAGGGGATGGTTCTCCCTGGGATGGTGGGGATGAGCACGCAGGACGTGGCCCTCAGCGGCAGACGCCTCTGGAGACGTACACTGAGGTTCTCGGCGAACTCCCAAGATTTTACCATCATGCCATGCCCGTAGTGCTGGCACTCAGAAGCCAGGATTTGTTTTCATTAAAAGAAACACAGTGGAGCCGAGTGCAGGGCACCAGTGGCTCACACCTGCAAGCTACTCAGGAGGCTGAGATCTGAGGACCAAGGTTCGAAGCCAGCCTGGGCAGACAAATTCATGGGACTCCTATCACTCATTAACCACCAAAAAGCTGGAGGTAGAGCTGCAGCTCAAGTGGAAGAGCACCAGCCTTGAGTGGAAAAGCACCAGGACCAGCACGGTGGCGCTGCCTGTGCTGTGTCTCTGTCCTCTTCAGACCAGAGACAGTGGTTTTCAAAGAGGAGTGGCAGCTTGTCAGAGGTGCAGACCTTGATTCGGCATGGATAACTGAAAGAGACCTGTGGGCATGTTGGGGTTCGCTGGCGTGGAAGGCTCCTGTGGCCCTCCCTGGGCCCTCACAGCACAGAGGCAGCAGGCAACTGGATGACTGTGAAGGAGGCTCAGTGTCAAATCCCCATTTGCCTCTCCCAGAAGCCTAGGATGAGAGGGTGGAGGCCTCAACAAGGCCCAGCCCCTGCCCCAAGGATCAAAGATCACACCGGGATAAGCCTTAGTCCAAGACCAAAAGTAGATGAAAGGGAGTCTTTTTTCAGATGCTAGCACTTAGTAGGACACTAGGTTCATAGTAGGATGCTCAGCATGTGTTCTCCAAGTAAGCTGACTGTAGAAGAAGGAATCTGACTCCACATGCTCGATAAGCTGTAAGACTTCCACTGTTCCAAATGCTGATTCTTACCCTTCAAATCCAGTCTCCTGGATGACCAATTTGACTTCCTCACCCGTACTTCTGACATTCAAACTCAACTATTACTAAAGCCTTATGGTACTATTTGCTTTGTGCACGTAACATTCTTATGATGTCCCAGATACAACTCATCTGCACAGCTCACGAATCAAGGTAGGTATGGCATTATACTCAATTCACAGATGAGGAGACCAAGGCTTCTGGTGGTCAAAGAACTTGCTGAAGATCCCTGGGGTGGCAAATGGTGGAGCCAGGAGTAAGAGGCGGGGCGGGGCCAGTGTACGCCCATCAAGCTGTGGACTCTTAGATTTGAATATCTGCGCTCGCAGAACTATTCAAAGTCTCTCAGACCACTGGGATGGTATCTTGGTGCCTCTGGTATCCTTGTTCCTCCAGGCGAGTCTAGGTCCTGTGGCACATGAGAGGAGGCTGGCACGTCCCCCTTCTACCCACCAAGTGGAAATAAGCACCAATGAAGACTCTCCCAACTGGCATTTTGGTGGATTCCCAAAAGAATACTTCCTTTTAGCCTGCTATTCTTCCTTTCTCTTCCCTTCCCTTTTCTCCCACCCTCCTTTCCTTTGATTTTCCCTTCACCAGTCAAATATTCAAGCTTTAAAGTTACTGCTAGAAATGTTTCCTAAAGAGGGCAAGCGTTGTTTGAGTTGAACAAAACTATAAACTCTGAGTCAAACTTCTTCCACTGCCAACGAGCTCTGTCTCCACCACCACCTGCCAGACACCACGGAGTGGAAACCCCAACCGCAGCCATCCCCTCGCGACTGCCCGCCAGACCCACGGAGCGGGCCTGTTTCCTGTGGGTGGGAACTCCAGGCCACCGCAGCACAACGATAGGAAAACGCTGAGCAGACAACAATAACGGAGGGATAAACAGCGCCCAGGTCTCTCGGTAAACCAACACATGTGCTGGAAGGGCTGTGCTGCTGTATTTACATTGCTATGCAACAGAGGAAAAACAAGAAGGTGATTTCAATGCAAGGCTCAGACACACAAAGAGCCATCGAGCACAGTGTCGGCATGGAGACCTGGCGGATGCCGGACAGGCTCCTGGCCGCACACATACAAAGCAGAACTTAGGGTGCCACCAGCTTTACTTCTGTTTTGAAAAAAAACAGTGGTAAATATAATGGCCAGGGCTCCCTGAACTGCTCTGCTCATCTAGATGAATGTTTAGGAGACCAGAAGGGGTCTCACGCCTGTCATCCCGGCTACTCAGAAGGCTGAGATCTGAGGATCACAGTTCGAAGCCAGCTGGGGTGGGAAAGTCTGTGGACTCTTATCTCTAACCAGGGAAAAGATAGAAGTAGAAATGTGGCTCAAGTGGTAGAGCGCCAGCCTTGAGTGAAAAGCTAAAGGATAGTCAGTGTCCTCAGTTCGAGCCCCAGTGTGGCCATGCATGCACACACAGACACACCAGCATGCATGCACACATATATACACAACATCAGGAGTACAGTGGAGAGAAATAAAAACCCAGCTACTAGGCAGCAGCAGGTTGCAGATCACAAAACACCTGCAGCCTCTGCCCAACTTCTAACAGGCAGGAGGTGCTGTCATGGGCGGGGGGGGGGAGGGTCTTCCCTCAGGAGGGCATCATGCGTGTGCACTTGGTACACACCATCACCAAGGGGACCTTCCCCGAAAGGAAGACATCACACGTGTACAGGTTATGCTCCAGGTCATGGCTGGAGCCTGTCCGGCCAGGAAAAGCCCTCCAAGCAGGAAAAACCAACCTCAGAAAGTAGAGCGTGTCTCCATCAGGCTCCTTTAGTCTCCCAGGAGGTGGGTCTCTAAGAACCCTACCCCTAACCTGAGAGAGAGCTGCCATTCCAGCTTCTCTGTGCCAGGTACTGAATGATGAAACACTGAGGAGCCGGGCGCCGATGAGCCTGGAACCCTAGCTGCTCAGGAGGCTCAGATCTGAGGATCAGGATTGGAAGCCAGCTGGGGCAGGAACTTGTGTGGGTACTAGACTTGAATTCAAGGGTCCAGACTGGCGCTCTACCACCTGAGCCACACCTCCACTGCCCGCCTTTTCCTGGTTCACTGGAGCTAAGAGTCTCATGGACTTTCCTGCCTGGGTTGTTTTTGAGCTTTGATGCTCAGGTCTCAGCCTGCTGAGTAGCTAGGACTGCAGGTGTGAGCCACTGCCTGGCGGAGAGCAATGTGTTATAGTTGTGATTATCTGCTTAGTAATTGAGTAGTGGCTCTCAAATCTGACTCTGGATGAAATTCCCTGCATGCGGTGGTGTCAATAGAAGGCTGGCCCCTCCCCCTCCTCCCTGCCCTCGCCCCTCCTCTCCCCCACAGCTGATTCAGCCGGTCCAGGGGGGGCTGAGGATGTGCATTTCTGACTAATTCAGGCGATGCTGAAGCTGAGTGGGATTCATGTTTGGGAAAGAACTGACCGCACAGCTCTGTGAAGCAGCGGGGAGGCGCAACGAACGTCCCATCTCACCAGCTAACCTACTTAAGCCTCCGTGTCCTCGTCTGTAGAAAGGGAGAGCCGGCTGCACATCACAACGGTCCCGAGGATGAAGCATGGCATGATGAGGGAGTGAGGGTGCACTGCTTTGATACATAAAAATGCAGGACAGATGTTCCATTGGAAAGCAAGGCTCCAGGGCAGCCCAGAGGAAGCTCGAACCCGGACCCCAGCTTCCAGTCCCGCTGCTTTGGCGTGTGTAGGCAGTGAGGGCGAAGGGCACCCCTGTAGCCTGACATCCATAATTCACAGCTACTAAGATGCACAACATGGGCCTCCAAAAACGCCTCTCCTCATACAGTGTGCGGACAGCACTTCCACGGGCCCTGCCCGGCCCCTCCACACGCGTGTCCCGGCCCCGGCCGCACAAGTGGCGCCCACCTCTGCATGCTGGGTCTCCCGCACTCCGGCAGGAGGTCTCGAACCCCCTGCCCCCCCGGGGCCCTGCTGGCCCCGGGGTCTGAGCAGGACACCAGCTGGCCTCCATCTCCAGACCTCTCACGGTTCTCCAGACCATGGGTCGGGAGACCCTGGGATGGGGGGGAGGGGGAGGCGCTGCAACACCCAGACGTGCATGACTTCATCTTGGGGAAGCTGGGGGGAGGGGGACACTGCCCCCTGGAAGCCCCTCCACCCTCCCTGGCCCTGCCCTCTCCTAGTGCCCGGCTTACTCGCTGAGCCAGAGACAGGTGGGCACCCACCTGTCCTGGATGGGGGTCACCCGGCGGGTCCCCGGTGGGCAGGCCAGGGGGGTCACCCGGCGGGTCCCCGGGGCAGCGAAAGGGGGTGTGTCCGGCACGCAGGGGCGGAGACGGGCCCCGGGTTGGGCGGG